ACCCATGTTGCCCATTTACGCACCTCACCTGGCACTGACAAAAGTATTATAATTTGCAAAGTTTGAACAAAATCGTATGATCCTTTCTCTTTCTATGGGGTATATCATTTTCCCTGAAAAAGTTTACCTTTTGTGGGGGAGGTACCAGAAGGAGAGGGACGATATTGCCCATCTCCGAACTCTATCTAAGTTTGACAATAATATTACGATTTACCAAAATTGGATCGAATCGGGTACTCCCTCCAGGAGTTATCAAGCGCACCAGCCAGACGGACACCCCTAAATCGACTCCCAAGGGTCGAAGACTGTTACTTCGATGAGGCACGTTTTTGCCGTATCAAATGATATATATCCTCTGCAGACATATGACTGAGGTTATACAAATATTTTTGATTTTGACTTTTGATTTAAAAGTGTGGCTTTAAAATGTGAGGCTTTAAAAAATATTTTTGGAAACACACTGTTTTAGTTTTTTAAAAAATAAAAAATTTTGGATTTTTCTGGAACCTTAGATTTAAAAAGTACCATCCCACTTTAAAAAAATTGTGATTAATTTGAAAAAAAAAATTAAAAAGTCTCTAACAAAATATTGAATTTCAAACACAAAAACACCACACTTGATAATTTAACCATGTATCTCTCTCTACATGACCCAACCTCTCTCTCTCTCTCTCCCCCACTCTCTCTGATCCATCAATATCTGTGAAATTTTGATAAGTGCCTTTTTTGCTTGCCATATGTTTGCAGAAACCGACAACATGCAATTGTTAGAACCCAATGTTCTGTATCTCGACGAGAGGCCGCCAAAAATAGTTAAACAAAAACGGTTGGCCAAAAAGGAAACGCGGAAAAAGAAAAAACCAAAACCGGTTAGAAAAACTAAAAAGGAAAATCGCCTTAAAAAAGTCAATATAAAATTGGAAGCGGCTGCAAATGAAACCTTAAGATCAGGCGATGATCCTTTGTGTACTGCCAGTGCTGCATCCGAGCAAGAAATCAAAATGGAAGCTGAAGAGGAGGAAACGGAAGCAAGTTTGAAAATGGAGACTGAGGAAACATCCGACCATAGACCGGCATTGGAAAATGCCTTAGAGGAGTTGCATTTGGCAAGAGAAACCAAATGTGAATTACGATATGATTCGGGAGAAGAAGACCAAATGCACGAGGCTAATAAAGACGATAGTAACGACAATGAAGATTATGTGGATTCCGATGAAGATTTCCTGGGAGAGGAGGAGGTGGAGGAGGAAGATGGAAATGAAAACGACATGGATGAGGATGATGAACCCCTGATAATTCTTACCCGTAAAAAAGGCCGACCACGTAAATATCCCCTCAAAGAGGAGGGCCTATCCGTGAGAATACCACGCATGGAACAATGCCGGGAAATTTGCAAACAAAAATGTACCCAAAAATTTAGCCAGGAACAAAGACAGGCCATGTGCGAATATTTTTGGTCCCTCAGTTCCGAAGAAAAGAAACAGTTCATAAGGCGGAGGACAAAGACCAAGCGTTATACGCGCCTCAAACGGAAAAATGCCAAAAGTCGTGGTAATAATTGTTGTTATTATTTAAATGTGGCCAATGAAAACGGAAGACGGGGAACGGAGGAGGGGGAGGAAATACCCTTTATAAGGGTCTGTCGGAAATATTTCGAATCTACGCTGTGTATTACAAATTATATGATTAAGAAAGCCTTGGATGGTTATGAACCGGAAATGGAAACGAAACCACCCGGAGTCATGGAAGGTGGTGGGGAGGAAACGAAAGCTTCCAAGAAACAGGAAGATACGGTCCAACAATATCTAGATCCGGAAACGGGCGACTTAATAACCATTGACCCCAATGAAGAGAAAAAGAAACGCTTGGCGGCGGCGGCATCCATGTCCACACCGAAAAAACGTGTGCGGCGCAAGCCCGGCGACCCCCTACCCGAACACTTTCCCAAACCCATTAAATGTGCCGAACGCTGTATACACAAATGCCACACGAAGTTTACCGAAGAGGAACGCAAACAGATTTGTGACACCTTCTGGTCCATGGACTATAAACGTCGCAAAGATTTCATTTTGGCCCGCATTGAAACCAAAGAGGTGGAGACCCAGACCACACCGGAATTTCGTAAATCCAATCGTCCGCCACGAGCCTATCACACTCGATTCTTTTTACGTTCGGCCGGACTGCAGGGTGAAAATAAACGGGTGTGTAAACATTTTATGATGGCCACCCTGGCCATCAATCGTCAGTTCATCACGAATGCCATAGATTTTGCCGACAAGACCACCGGTTTCTATGCCGGGGCCGATCGTCGTGGCCACAATGGAAAATCGAATAAAATTGGTCCTGAACGCAAGCAGACCATTACAGATCACATCAGTTCCTATCCCACATGGTTGCCAAATAAGAAAAGTAAAACGCGATATCTTCACCATTCGCTGAACATTAAACGGATGTACAAGGAGTACAAGGACATGTGTGTGGCGCAGGACAAGAAATATGTATCGAATCACTACTACTATCGTTCCTTTCACGAGGACTTTCGTTTGGCCTTTCTCAGCAACCCGGAACCGAAGAGAGGTGGGGGTTTTATGAAATCCAATCCAAATGTATCCCACTACACAGGCAATGAGCCGGGAGGCATGTGGCTGGATCCCCGGGGAGAGAGATTAGATTTAAGCCATCATCGGCCATGGGAAAGTTTAATAAAATATCCCAAACCTGAAACACAACCCGCCACCTTGGAAGGAGCAACAACAGCAACAAACACCAATGTGATATTATCAACTAATCCTTCCAACATGGGAAATATTTTTCTCACGGTGCCGCCCCCCTCTTCGGAGGATTCTTCAAATATTGGCCACGTTGTACAACAACAGAATCCAGAGGTTTTGCCTCACAATCCCGCAGCCTCATTTAGTTTTACACAATCTTCTCTCAGTTATGCCCATTTAATTGATTCTTCGGGTCTCTTTTGTCAACCTCCTCCGGCGGCTGTGGGGCGCCATGATTTTTCTTCAAATTTATATGAAGTGCAGAATTTGTCACAACATGCCCATGGAGCAGCATCCACCACATCGTCAGCAGAAGGATCGGCGGCGGGAGCAGCTGCTGCATTATTTCGAAAACTTTAAGTTGTTTTCTTTTTAATATTTTAAGATATTCCAATTAAACTGAAATATTTAAATAACAACTGGAAATTATGGGCGTTATAATGTATAATTTGGAATCGCAGGATCTGAGACACTTTTATTTAAGATAAAATGGTAAAAGTGCCAACATATATACAAGCTCAGATTTGAGGATTTTCTTGAAGGCAATCAGACAATTTCGTGTTTTATGAGCTTCATGAATTTTCAAAATTTTTAACCTTTGTGGGGGAGGAACCAGAAGAAGTGGGTCGATATATTTCATCTTCACAGCAGATCTTGTGTTAGTGGAAATAATGGGATGTGTGAAATATGAATAGAACCGGATGCTGCATATTTCGGATTTTACTATCGTTTTGGTTATTCGAAGCTTTGACCCTTTGTGGGGGAGGTACCAGAAGAAATGGTCCGATTCCAAACATCTTTATAACGGATCGTATTTTGATAGAAATATTGAGATGTGCCAAGTCTGGATCAATTTCACGTCTTATGAGCTTTGTAGATATTCAAAATTTTAACCCTTTGTGGGGGAGGTTCCAGAAGGAATGGACCGATATATTCCATCTTCACACCAGACCTTGGATTAATAAAAATATTGAGATGTGTGTAATTTAAAGACAATCGGACACTTATATCACAATTTATAATAGTTTTAATCATTAAAAATGTTGAGCCTTTGTGGTGGAGGTACCTGACCTAGCACTGACGCAGATATTAGGATTCGCCAAGTTGGAGCGAAATCGGATTATCCTTTCTCCTTCTGTGTGGTAAATTTCTTTGAAAATTTTGACATTTTGTATGGAAGGTACCAGAAGCAGTGGACCGATATTGCCCATCTCCGAACTCAAGCTAAGTTTGACAATAATATTACATTGTACCAAATCTGGTACTCTCTTCGAGAGTTATCGTGCGCACCAGCCAGACAAACAGACTTACGGACGGACATCGCTATATCGACTCCAAATGTCCTGAAATGGATTTGGTTCAAAGAGACCTAGCGTCTAAAACCTTTATTTCGACTGGTCAACTTTTGGCCGTATCAAATGATATACCCTCTCTAGCCATATGGCTGAGGGTATATACTTTTAAAGGAGCGGGTCAAATCTATTTTGTTTTTTAAGGTTTGGATTTTTCCAAAAATATTTATCCTCCATCTATAAAAGGGTGTATTTTTTAATATTTTTGAATTAGTTACTGATTGTGAACTATTAAAACCGAACAGGGATTTTTTTTTTTTCAAAAATATATTAAAAATATATTCAAGGATATATAAATTTGGGTACTCTTTGAAAAATATTTTCAAGGATATAGATCGCATACATTTTCAAAAAAATCTTGTATTTTTGGATTTTTTTTATTCTTTTTAATATTTTATAATGACTATTTTTTTTTTCTAATATTTTTAAAGAAGTTGCTGATTGTGACATCCAGTTGGAAAAATGTTATAACATATTTAAGAACCATCAGAACGGAGATGTTTTCAAAAATATTCTCAAGAAACTATAAATTGTTGTATTTTTGCATTTTTTTCTACTCAGATTATTTTTTAATACTTTACAAAGACTATTAATTCTTTTTTCTTATTATAAATTGTTACAAGATTTGGATTTTTTCAAAAATATTTTCCTCACTCTATAAAGGCGGGATCTCCTAATATTTTTAAAGGAGTGACTGGTTGTGAACTTTAAAAAAAAGATTTTTAAGGGACATCGGGTTGGAATTTTTTTTTTGGGAATATATTTAAGGGCCATCAGAATATGTATTTTTTCATAAACATACTCAAAAATCTAAAAAATCGGGTAGTTTTGTAAAAACTATTTTTAAGGATTCACAACTCGGAGATTTTTTGACAATTACTTTTAAAAATATATTTCGAACGATTTTGTTTTACATTTTTCAAGGAATATTAATTCGGGATTTTTTTAAAATAATTTTTCACAAACTAAAAATTAAAAAAAAAAATCAAGGCATATACAATTGTGGAGATTGTGAGCTGTTTCTTATTAATTCATGTTTTTGATGGAATTGTCTATCGTTTTCATAAGAAAAAATTTCGTAATTCTTTAAGCGCTTCGATTTCTCTTCTCCCACATACTAGACAACCTCTTGAAAACATAATTCAATTGGACCACAATAATGATGGCAGAGAGTATCATTATTCCTTGAATTAAAATTAAACTTCTAGCCATGCGGTCATCTTCATCATCGAATATCTCATGGCTGAAGACACCACGAATGAGGGGTCCATAGGTGGCAATATAACGAGATCGGCTAATGCAGAGTAATGACACCAATGTCAAATAGACCAAAATGCACTGAAATTTAATTTTAAAACCTATAAAATAAAAAAAAATTGAGTCTATATTTCCGCTCACATGAATCCTTGAGAACATTCGTGTAACCGACAATTTCGAATGCCATAGCCATGTACCCAACGAATAATAAAACGATGCAAAGCACAGAGCCACACTAACACACCGATGTTCGAATAGCTTCAAGTCATACATTGGTGTATCAAACAAATCGATAATGTAATAATTCCACAATGAGAGGATCTGTTGGGAGAGGGAGAGAGAGGAAGCAGGAAAATATTTAAATTAAATATTGGAGTTGTTAGAATGGTTTATAATTTACCGCCACGGCGAATTGCGCAAATGCTATTAATTCCTTGCGGCTTGGACAGCAAATCATTATTTGAAGCAATTTTTTGACTTTGGGTTTGGAAAGAAAAAAATAATTAAAAATACATTTAACAAAATTATGGGGAAATTGTTATGGCAAAGTTGACAATATACAGTTTACCCCCTGGAAGATTATTGTCTATATGGGCCCAAGATATCATATATCCCTCATGTAAGGGTACCTTCCAATATTCGATATTTTGATGATTTTAGCGACATTATTCACCGGGGTTGTTTTAAATTTCGTATTTAAAGTTCGTAATTGGAATTACAGTCTATGAAAAAATATTGTCTATACAGGTCCAGGTCTTCGTATAGACCCCATATATTAGTACCTCCCTATATTCGGTATTTTGACGATTTTAGGTACAATATTCAGCGAAATTATTTGAAATTTTATATTTGAAGTTCCTAATAGGTACTACAGCCTGTGACAGAAAATTGTCTATGCAGGTCCAGGTCTTCGTATAACGCTACCTCTCTATATTCGGTATTTTAACGATTTTAGCTACATTATTCACCGGATTTGTTTTTCAAGTTTCGTATTTGAATACAGGGTGAAATAAAAAAACTGCAACCACCTTCAGACTGTTGTCATTTCTAAGCCACTCGGCCGACAGCTGTTAAAATTATTCCAGTGATAGCTCATTATATTGTTTACAAGCCTGCAAAAGCATTTTGGTGAGAATTTTCCAGAATAAAAGTTATTCGTGATGGAATTCAAGCGTGATAGTGTGATTTCTTTATATTTGGCTGGAAGCCCAAAAGCGGCTATAGTCTGAGCACTCCAGCATTTAAATGTGAATAAATCTTTTGTGTTTCGTACCATCGCTCGTTACCGTGATACTGGTAGCGTAGCCCGACGTCAAGCAAGTGAACGGAAGAAAACAGCAACATCAGTAGAAATGGTTTGAAAAGTAAAGAAGCTACTTAAAAGCGATCAAAACCCGCGTCGCATTGGCCGAAAAATGGCTCGTGAGCTGAACATATCGCAATATTCCATTCGGCAAATAATGAAAAATGAGCTCGGGGTAAAGCCGAAAAGTGCAAGAACTTACACCGCAACAGAAAGAAAATGGACTCAAAAGAGCTAAAGAGTTGCTTCACTTGGCCGAAAGTGGTGAACTGGCGAATTTGAGTTTCTCCGATGAGAAAACATTCGTTGTCCAGCAGTTTGTAAATAAATAAAATGAGAAAGAGGTCAGCTGAAAATATACACCATCGGTTGGCCACCAGACCTCAAGCGCCGGCCATGGTGATTGTGTGGGCCGCCATAACAGTCGATGGTCGCTCTCCGCTATATCCGTATTTATCGACCGTGGCATCAGAATAAATGCCAAATATTATAGCGAAAATATTCTGGAGGTTGTATTAAAACCTTGGGCAGGCAACATTTTGGCCGCAGCCCTTGGACATTCCAACAGGACTCAGCACCATCGCACTCAACACGTGTCACCCAAGAATGCTTACAAAATGAGGTTCCTCGCTTCATTTCCAGCGCACAATGGCCACCAAAATCTCCGGATACCAATCCGTTGGACTATTGTGTCTGGAGTTAAGCAAGGTTGACACTAGAAAATACTAACGTGTCGATCACCTCAAACAAGCGTTTCGCCGGGAATGGGCCAAAACACCGTACAGCAACTTTAGGGCAGCGTGTTTCGGTTTCATTGGCCGTTTGAAGGCCATAATTCGTGCCAAAGGTGACCAATCCAAATTTATTCTTAAATTTTATGCTATTTCCGACATTTTCGCTTTCATTCAATAAAATTAAAAAAAAAATAAAATAATGACTTTTTACTTTGTTGCAGTTTTTTATCTCACCCTGTAATGGGATTATGAAAAAAATCTTTAATTTTTTTTTTTTTTTAAATAATCCAGTTTTTAGGTCCTTTGAAAAAAAATATATTTCAAAAAATCCAGTCCTTTGAAAACATATTCTTTTAAAAATTCAATTTTATTGGTCCTTTGAAAAAAAAATCTTTCAAAAAAATCCCAATTAATAGGTCCTTTAAAAAAATATTCTTTAAAATATTGGTCATTTGAAAAAAGTGTCTTTAAAAAAATCCACGTTTAATGGTTCTTTGAAAAAAAAAATGCTTTAAAAAAATCCAGGTTCATTGATCCTTTGAAAAAATTTTCTATAAAAAATCAAAGTTTATTCGTCCTTTAAAAAATGTTCTTTAAAAAATCCAAATTAATCGGTTCTTTAAAAAAATATTCTTTAAAAAAATTCACATAAATTCTTTAAAAAATCCCCAATTAATGTTTAAAAAAATCCTTCTAAAAATTTTGTTGAAAAAATTGTCACTAAAAAAATGCTTATTAATTGGTCCATTGAAAAAATATTCTTCAAAAAATCCTCATTTATTGGTCCTTTAAAAAAATATTGCTTAAAAAAACACGTTTATTAGTCCTTGAAAAATATTCTTTAAAAAATTCCCATTTGTTGGTCCTTTGAAAAAAGATTTTGAAAAAATCCCCATTTATAGGTCCTTTGAAAAAATATCCTTCAAAAAATCCACATGTATTGGTCTTTTGAAAAAATATTCTTTAAAAAAATTGCCTTTATTGGTTTTTTAAAAATATATTATTTAAAAAACCTTCGTTAATTGGTCCTTTAAATTTTTTTTTTAAGAAATCCAAATTTATTGGTTCTTTGAAAAAATGTTCTTTAAAAATTCACAATTTTTTTTTTTAAATCCCCATTTATTCTAAAAGAAATCCTTATTGTATTGAAAAAAAAATCCTTATTAAAAATCCTTTGAAAAATTGTCTTTAAAAAATGGTAATTTTATTGAAAAAATACTCTTCAAAAATCCACGTTTATTGGTCCTTTGAAAAAATATTCTTTAAAAATATCCGCATTTATAATTCCAATTTTTTTTCTTCTCCCTCCAGGCGTTATTGAACCCGACAATGATGTCGACCAACCCATGGGCGATTCCTCCAAGACACCCAGCGAAGAAGATGTTGACAAGTCGAGTGAACTACGCTCCCAGGCAGCTGCCGCCTACAGTGAACAAAAATTCCAAGAAGCCATCGATTTGTATACCCAAGCCATTGAAATTAATCCCGGTAATGCTCTGTTCCATGCCAAACGTGGTCAGGCCTTTTTGAAGCTAAAGAAACCGAATGCCTGTATTCGCGATTGCAACAAAGCTTTGGAAATCAATTGTGATTCGGCTGCGGCCTACAAGTATCGTGGTCGGGCCAATCGTTTACTCGGCAATTGGGAAGAGGCGGCCAAGGATTTGCGTCAGGCCTGTAAACTCGATTACGATGAGGAGGCCGATGAATGGTTGCGTGAGGTAACACCCAATGCCAAGAAAATTGAACAGCATCGCTTGAAACAGCAACGCAAAAAGGCCGAACGTGAGCGTAAGGCGGCGGAGGCCAGACGTCAAAAGGCACGTCAGGAGCAACAGAAACAACAAAGTGCTGGCGGTTTCCCCGGTGGCTTCCCGGGAGGTTTTCCTGGTGGTTTCCCCGGCGCCGGTGGAGCTGGAGCTGGCGGTGGTGCTGGTGGTTTCCCTGGCATGGGTGGCGCGAATATGGGCGACTTGTTGTCCGCCATGAATGATCCCGAAATAATGGCTGCCTTTGAAGATATCATCAAGAATCCGGCAAACATTGAGAAATACAAGTCTAATCCCAAGATTTCTAAACTCATTGAATCCTTTAAGGGAAGCTTCCCTGGTGGTGTTCCTGGTTTCCCAGGAGCTGGTGCAGCTACTGGTGCTACCGAAGATTCTACTCCACAAGCAGCTCCAACCAACGAAGAGCCCAAGGCTGCTCCCAAGAAACCTGATTTTGTCGATGATGGTTTGGACTAAATGCCATTCTCAGCAGCTGCAGTTGGGGAAATTTTATTTATAAAAAAAAAATTTTTTGAAAAAAAAAAACTCAATATTAAATATTTCATTTGAAATGAATGTATCTAAAATTTTGTTTCGTAAAAGTTTCCTTATTAATTTTTAAACATGTCATTTTATACTTTTTTTGTAATTTTATTCCCAAACATTTTTTAAATTATTTGTCAAAAATTGCATTAATCTTATTTTTTTTTAAATTGTATAAATTTTTACGGTGGAAGAGAACCAGTCTCGAAACATTTTATTTATAATTTTCTGGCTCTCTTTTTCAAACTTTTCCAAGTCTGTTCCAAGTAGATTTTTAATTTAACCCTTGTATTTAAAAAAAATCAATACTGAGTTCTATTTACACTCACACACACCTAAATACACACATACATATAAACACGCCTACTCGATGTCATCGAAGTCAAATCCTTATTAGCTTTTTGAAAAAAAAAAAAAAAAAAAAAAAAAAACACAGAACAAAAAGTAAATGCATTTCACAAGACTTATTCATTATTAATTAACTATAAAAGAAAAAAACAAATCCTTATCTAATCAAGGAATTGAAATACCGTTTTAATTATAGCCTTCTAGCAATGTAAAATTCTGAGTTTTTGGTTGAATTAAAAAAAAAATAAAATGAATATTAAATAAAATACAAAAAGAATTATAAATATTTATATATAAAATGTAGTGAAATGACTAGCCGACTGACTGATTGATCGAGAATCAACGTCCAGGAGAAACGGCTAAAGCTAAAATCTTGAAATTGTTGACAAGGGCCAGATATGGTGCGAAGGCAGGCATATGATAAGGCTGAGTTTTTGGAAATTTGTATTTGTAAATTTGAACGAAAAGTACTAAAAAACCAGTAAAGAAAGTCTTAAAGTCGGACGGGGCCGACTTTATGATACCCTACACCACTTTGCTAATTTAGTAGAGCTCCACATAACAATTAAAAGTTTTTTTTTTATGGGAGAATTCAATCATACACGCTATGATTATAATTATAATTTAAAGTTCAAAGGACGAAATATTCCGAAGCATTTGTGTCTTTTAAATTTGCACATATGGATATATAGGAGCTATGCTATATCTGAACCGATCTTCACCAAATTTGACATACTAGCTTCTGGACTCAATTTGGTCGTAAGTGACAAATTCCATCCCATTTGGACAAATATTACACGTTTGGTGCACAA